TTATATACCGATTATTATTATGGATCTTATATGTATAATAAATGTACGAGTTACCAGAATTAGGGTACCGTACTCTGCTAATGCCTGATTTTTTAAGGGGGTTTGTTCGGACTAGGGCTCTATTTGGTTTTTTGTGTGTCTTGTTCTGCGTTTCCAAAAGTTTTTCTCTTTTTTTTCTACGTTTCTTTTTTTTTTTTTTCTTTTTTTTTGTATTTTGTGTTTTTTTGTTGTTCTTTGTTGTTTTTGTGTTTTTGTGTTTTTGTGTTTTTGTTTGGATGACGTAATTATTTTCATTCGGTTCAACCATTTTGAAAAATTACCCTGAACTAAGTTTATTCTGCGCTTATTCAGTTGTTTTGTTTTGATTCTTTTTTATTCAGTGTTTTTTTTCGCTCTACCCTTTCCTTTTCACATTTGTTTTGATTTCCAAATAATAATATTCAACATTCAGTAACGGTTTACACTCCAGGCGGACTACTATCCCGTTATGCTCTTGTAGTCTATCTTTGAATCTCTTTTCTGTACCCTAGCTAGTTATTTTTCTTCTCGGGCCGTTTATATCACCACCGTCATCGCAATCGTTGTGTGCTATCTCTTAGCCCCGATCTCTCACGCTGTCGGTGGTAAACGACGGCCCCAAATCGTTACGAACCGGCGCGTTTACCCTTGCTCATTTAACTATGAGCTTGTGTGTTTCCCCGGCGAGCACGAAGGTCTGCAGAAGGTTTTTATACAGGCAATTAACTTTCGCTGATGATACTCTCCTTTTGATGACCTTCGAAATTTATTAGTGACACTATTATTTTATTATCTATTCTTATACTACTTCTCCAATCTATGCCCGTTGTAATTTACGTCGTTATAAATTATTTTATTGCAACCAAGTACTCATGTGTATTTTTTCAGTACCACTATTAGGTGTGTCTCATAACCCGTGGCTATCTTGCCCTCGTTGACAAAATTTCATGGTAAAACCAAAACTAAGACAAAAAGAAGAAAAAGAATATCAAAGATCAATCGTTATTAAATCATTGCTCTTTTATTCAAATAATTCTCTCTTGTAAATATACCTCAAGCGGCCTTCATCATAGTCTAATATCCGATAGCTTATCGAACGGACCGAGGTATCCCTCTGAGTAATCACCCGTCCGGAAGGCTCAGGAAAACTGACTCTCTATCTCCTCATACTGATTCCACTATCTATATCTTGTCTTTTACTGCTCTCCGCCAACCCAGCTACTACTCTAGATGGATTACGGCTACTCTTATCATTATGATGGTATGTTTAGTGTGTGTATTTTGCTTACTCTTGTTTTATATTAACGAAAATCAGGTTCTCACGGGTCAGTCCCCCACGCTTCTACACAGACCACTCGTGGTTCAATAAGTGGCCCAGCTCAAGGATCTCACGGCCACACAAAAAAGGATAAACGTCGCCAAAGTATTGCATTTAAGCTGAACCATATCACTGAACTCTTTGAGAATGAGCGTGACTTTCACTATCGCGAAATGCTTCATGCTCTCCAGTCGACCCTGTCCTCCCTGCACGCCGGCACCAACGACCAATTCCTTGAAACCCTCACCGACATCCAAGAAAACCGTGACCAGGAACTTGTACGACTATCGGTGTGGGAATCATACCAAATTGCCAGCTGTCAGCGGGAGTATGATCAAGATACGCATCAGGCCCACGACGAATATGAGGCAATGACGCAAATGGTCAAGGATCGGCTAGTTCGCCGCATTGAGGGCCAGAAAAAGTCGCTGAGAGAAGACAAGGCTCTTTTAGATATGGCTAATGACCATAACTTTCTACTCAATGGCTCTTATGGTATGGGCCAGGATAGGTACTATCATCAACAACACCTCACGCGGAGCAATTATGGCAATGGCCAGTATAGGGATAACTTGAACGGTGCCCTCAGTGCGGGCGCGGGCGCGGGTGCTGGCACAACAGGCAATGGCCCAGGTGGCTCTAATGTTATGAATAATAATGGCAATCTGAGTGATTCTAAGGCTATGGGTTCGGTCACACCCGGGTCCCCGGGGGCTGGTTATGGGCTAGGCGATCGCCGTAGTCTTAGGAATAGAAGAAATAATCCGAATACTGGCGGCATGAACTCAAACAATAATGAGTCGTTAAGTGGGTTAGATGAAAGTGCTTATTCGGCTAGTGGAATCGGCTCTAGCGGGGTTATGAACAATAATACTAACTATTCCGGGAACACCAATTACAGCATTTCATCTAAGCGTCGCAAGGCCGCTAGCGGTTATCGATCTGGTAACGACGATGGTCCCGGTGATTCTAAATCTACTAATGTGGCCCCCGCTATGGCCGGCAGTGGGGCAGGGGGCATCTCTGGCAATGATGATAATAATCCAATATGGAGCGACGGGTTTGAAGGTCTCTTGTTCGCCAAGGAGAGAGATATTCCCACCACCACACCACGGCATAATTCCCGGAGTTACCAGGGGGTACCAACGCTCAAACCTGATGAGGCCACTGAAGATTTGAACGTACTGAGGGCGGCTATAAGTACGTTCCGGGGACCCGCTTATAATCTGGGAGCTGGTGGGCCCAATGGAGGTAGTACCAGCGGTCAATCAACAGGAGTAAATGGCACTGCCAGCTCGCAACCACAGCAATTGAATCAGAGTCAGGGTGGTGGTGGCTCGCGACGTAGGCGTTAAGTGCCACCTGCCTTTTTACTTCTTACTCGATTCACGATAATAACGACCTCAGAGTAGTTCTGTATATTTTATTTCCTTTTATTTGATACCTTAATAATTTAGATACATAATAATTTACTTTATTCTTGTTTCTAACCTGTGTTGTTTTGCACTTACTCAAACTGTACCCCGCTTAGATATGAATTACCCTATAGCAACCCCTGAACCGACATGGTAAATGAGGCTTGCAGACCAACTATATAGTTATCCTCACCCCAAAAAAAAATTAGATTTTTGTTTTACGCTTCAAAATTTGAACAGGTTCCGGTGTCATTTCAACCGTTTTTTCAAGGCACACATTTTGATCCGTTGGGACCGCATGCAAAAAAAACACCAAAAAATCAAAGGAGTTTCATAAAAACCTACCAAACATTCTCTAAATATTCAAAAACTATCTCCCGCTGAGAATATATCCCTCAAAAATGTCAGATACTGACTCTCGGACAGATCGATCCAATAGCCAATACGATGATCTGGGCTCAGATATATCTTCAAAGATGTCAATATCCCCCTTTTCTATCTCCGAAAAGGAGCGCCATTTTGTCCCCCCCTCTCGATCAGGGCCTGGTATCTTTAAGCGACGACTGCAGATTCCTGGAACCCGATTTCACACTACAGTTGGTGTAATAATCGCGCTTCCAGCGATAATCTCCCTGATAGTCGTTAGCATCGTAGCCCATTTTGTCAAGCCCCAGATTTTTCCCTTTCTACTCTTTGAAAGCTTGTCAACCCAACCGCTTCGTCCCATATCTACACGCGACGATGCTCCTTTCTCAACCGGATGTCTTGCCCGCCCGGATAACCAAGGCCCGCGCGCTAATGCAGTGCTAGTGGTTTTGGCACGGAATCAAGAAATGAATGGTATTATTGATAGTATGCGGAGCCTGGAGCGTCACTGGAACCGTTGGTTTAATTACCCCTATTTGTTTTTAAATGATGAATCGTTCAATAGTACTTTTAAGGAGGCTGTGGCACGCGAAACGCAGTCCGAAGTCAAGTTCGATATTATTTCCCCTGACTTATGGCAGTTCCCAAGCTGGGCCAATCCTGACGAGGTCGCTGAGGGAATTATCAAACAGGGAGACCAAGGTATCATGTATGGTGCCATGGAATCATACCACAAAATGTGCCGCTTCTACAGCGGAAAATTCTATCACCACCCCGCACTGGCCGAATATGACTGGTACTGGCGTCTAGAACCTGATGTGAAATTCTACTGTGATATGACTTATGATCCTTTTGTGCAAATGGAAAAAACTGATAAAGTATACGGATTTACGATCGCGATTAAAGAACTAGCCGAAACAGTACCAAACTTATTTCGTGCTAGTAAGGCGTTTATGCGGAAACGTAATATAACCTCGCGCGGTATGTTTGAAATGTTCGTCAAGCCTACGCCTGAGGAGGAGAGAAGGAAGCACCAGAGCAAGAAGGATTTATCTCACCAAGAAAATGATACCATTCCGATAGATGCAGACCCGCAATACCCTCCCGGCAGTATTCTTCACTCGGCTAACCCAGACCTCTCTGTTACCGGGGACAATATGGGCGGCGAGGCCTACAATTTATGCCACTTCTGGTCGAATTTTGAAATCGCCTCGCTAGAATTCTTCCGTTCAGAGGAATATAATGCTTTTTTCGACCACTTGGACCGAGCAGGGGGTTTCTGGCATGAGCGCTGGGGTGACGCCCCAGTACATTCTATCGCAGCTGGAATGTTCCTATCGCCCAAACAGATTCACTATTTCCGCGACTTCGGATATCGTCACACAACCATCATGCATTGTCCCACAAATGCCAAAGGTAAACAGTACATTGAGGATGAATTCTCAGGGGTAGGATGGTCGCCGGCTCATGACAATAGGAAGGATAAGAAGGTAAAGAAAGAGATCAAGTATTGGTCTCAATGGGACAATGAAGATGAATTCGGTGTGGGCTGCCGCTGTAGATGCGATAAAATGGCTAGAATTGAGCAAGCAGACATCAGTTGTATTCCTCAGTGGGTAGGTGTTAGTGGGGGATATTTAGATGAATAAGTCTGGGCATAATATTCCTGTTATATTTTTGTTATTTCCTGTCCTCTTCTTTTGGTATACATAGAGAGATAGAAACTTGTATTATTAGCTATATTTTTTTCAAACAGTGTGATTTGAATAAAATTTTTAAATAACTTAGGTCCACTTAGTGATCTATTGTATTCTTTTGCGTTTCAAATTTGGCAATCGAAAAAAAACTAATGGCAAAAAAGAGGGTTTGAAGAAAGAGTATTACGACAGCCGCAGGATTCGAACCTGCGCGGGCAGAGCCCAAAGCATCACAAACTCTAATATAATTCGAGTGCTTCGCCTTAACCACTCGGCCAGACTGCCAAAATAAAGAAGAAGGGCCCAACCGGGAATTGAACCCGGGACCTCTCGCAATTAAGGTTGCTGACCCTAAGCGAGAATTATACCACTAAACCATCGGGCCAATATATTTGCTTGAACATCGGATTTTAGTACACAAGACTAATCTTGATTTGACCGATAGTTAGAGAAAAAGGATAGCTTTTGATTTCGATTCTAAGGACAGGCACAGCGTTACGGTCTTGGTATTCTATACCTACATCTTCTCAGGAACGAAATCAAGCAGTTCTGAAGAACATTAAAGAAAGCAAACAAATATTGATTGTGAGAAATTTATTATAAAGCGATATAAATAATAAAAATAAAAATAATTAATATACAAAAATAAGATCCATATCACATTACCGTAAAACAGAATTAAAAGAAGAAACCGTAAAGAACCATAAGAAAGAAATAAAAGGCATAAAAGAGCAAAGGATCAACTAAAGACCAAATGTATGAATAACAATGAGTGTATGTCATCGCTATTCGATTTAACCACCGAAACCGTAAAGGGTACGGCCTTGTCTCTTAAGAGCGTAGACAACATCAAGGGAGGTGACAGTCTTTCTCTTGGCGTGTTCAGTGTAGGTAACAGCATCACGAATGACGGATTCAAGGAAGGACTTGAGAACCCCACGGGTTTCTTCGTAAATTAAAGCAGAAATACGCTTGACACCACCTCTTCTAGCGAGACGTCTAATAGCAGGCTTGGTAATCCCTTGGATGTTATCACGAAGAATCTTTCTGTGACGCTTGGCACCACCCTTACCTAAACCTTTACCACCTTTACCACGACCGGACATTTTCTTTTGTATATTATTGAATGATTAAAAAAACTAGTTTGCTTTTGTACAGAAAGAAAGAAAAGGAGTTTGATGGTAGCGAAAGGGTATATATACGAATGTGACGCGTCTTAGGCCTTGCTTGTGCCTCATGATGGAGCGCCCCAACATCAGGATCCCCGGACCATGATGTTCAGTACCGTGGATATCAGCATGCATCCAGTTTAATTAACTATACGTTATTATACAGGCATCATCAAACTCATCCATATTTGTAGACAAGACCTGATGAATTGATGCTTGATTACTGATGGTAGCTACTCACATTAGCGCTCAGGCGCGAGGATGGGTTTGAAGGTTGCTGGGAATTGCAATGGTTTAAGATGAGGGACATTTCCTAACTTCCTGCCCCCCCCTTCTCTTCTCACCTATTAAGATAAATATATATTAACACACATAAACAATGGCTAGAACTAAACAAACTGCTAGAAAGTCTACCGGTGGTAAGGCTCCCCGTAAGCAACTTGCTTCCAAGGCTGCTAGAAAGTCTGCTCCCTCCTCGGCTGCCCCCGGTGGTGTCAAGAAGCCCCACAGATACAAGCCTGGTACTGTTGCCCTTCGTGAAATTAGACGTTACCAAAAGTCTACCGAACTTTTAATCAGAAAGTTGCCTTTCCAAAGATTAGTCAGAGAAATTGCCCAAGATTTCAAGACCGATCTTAGATTCCAATCGTCTGCTATTGGTGCCCTTCAAGAATCCGTTGAAGCTTATCTTGTTTCTCTTTTTGAAGATACCAATCTCTGCGCCATTCACGCCAAGAGAGTCACTATCCAAAAGAAGGATATGCAATTGGCCCGTCGTCTTCGTGGCGAACGTTCTTAAACAGGCTTATATCCGGTTGTGATATCCTTTTAATTTTATTGATTGCCTGAATCGACTTTATTAAAAGTGTCCTATTTTTATTTTCGTCTTTCGATTAATACTTAATTTTTCTCATCTGTGGGGTCTTTCATTTTTTTTATTCTCTTTCTTTTATCGAAATACGGTTTCCTCATCTTATTAATTTGAGGATACTCTTAACGACCTTTTGTATATTATATGACTAATAAACCATTATTTTAAAAAACGACCCTATTTTATTTGTAAATATGTGCAAGCTTGACCAGCTGTAATAGTGAATACTTGACCTAAAATGTAATCGTAAATAATTCATCTATATATAAAATAATATGTAGTTTATTCCACAAAAATATTAAATAAGGCCCACTCGTAACGAATCCCGCATGTGAGTAATTGCACAAATAGCCCCTAACCAAGAAATGACCGTCATGCCTGGGAATCATTACATATACAAAGTCTCCACATAAAAATGAGACTGACTCCTAGTTCTTATTTTGAAATAGCTTATCTAATTCAATAGGCGCCATCATTCTCCGTAAAATGACTGAAATTGATCCACTATCCCAGCTTTTAGCCTCCAAGGATATAATAATTCTCGATGGTGCGATGGGCACTGAACTACAAAACAGGGGCCACGATGTCAGCAATCAACTATGGTCTGCTTCCATCTTGATCGATCATCCTCAAAGCATTTATGATGTCCACCTTCAATATTTCGAACACGGTGCTGACATAACCATCACAGCCAGTTACCAAGCGGCGATCCAGGGGCTGCTTGAAAATGGTGATATGCAGGATGAGACTAAGGCCCAAGAGATTATCCGCACCAGTTCTCAATTGGCTCTAAAGGCCCGGGATGATTATTGGCAGACGGCCATCGAGGGCCGCCCTCGGGGTTTAGTGGCCGGTTCAGTAGGTCCTTATGGCGCGTATCTGGGCACCGGAGCTGAATATACTGGTGATTATGATTATACTTTAACTACTGAGGATTTAAAGCAGTTTCATCGGGGCCGATTACTAGCGCTGTTAGATACGGATATTGACGCCATTGCGTTCGAAACCATCCCAAGCTACAAGGAGTTAGAGGCTATTGTAGAATTATTCAACGAAGTCTGTGCCGAGCGGGCCCGTGATTCAAACAAAAAACGCAAGGTCTCCGCCTGGGTATCGTTGAGTGTTAAGGACGCACAGTACCTCGGTGATGGATCTTCCATTGAGGCCGCATGTAAGTTAATTAACCAGCATACAGAAAACTTCAAGTCAATCGGAGTTAACTGTAACCCTTTGCTTATTACTAAAGATGTTTTGGCCACCCTGCACAAGTTTACGAACTTACCATTAGTTGTTTATCCCAACTCGGGTGAGAGTTACGATGCAACCACTAAGAAATGGAGTAGAGCTGGGGACTGCCAGACCCTTGAAGGGGAATCACCTGGCTGGATTAAGAATGGTGCTAGAATTATTGGTGGTTGCTGTAGAACAGCTCCTAAAGATATCAATAAACTATACAAGGCGCATGGTCAATACTGCTAGACTAGTTTTTTAGAGTAGAAGTGTGAATATTGAACGAACAAAATTATATTAGTAATCTCTAAAAGACCTCAAGTTTACTTTAGCGCTATATTAGAAAATAAACAGCTTTGAAAAACAAGTCTTAGTATTATAATTCAAATTTGACTGGTTGGGGAGTTCCGTCTGCTGCGCAAACTCGGATTTCCTGTGAGCAAGCAGCTGATAAAGTATCGATACTGGAACCTCCGGAAACCATAATCTTCCAGGGACCATTATCCCTATTTTCTTTAGCACCTTGAATGGGAGTCAAGACAGCATGCACAAAGTACTCCAAAGATTCAGTAGATTGCGATTCATCCGCGATGGAATGAAGGGTTTCTGGTAAATCCTCCGGTAAATGAAAAATGAACGGATAGGTGTTGACTGAGCCTTCATGAAAAACATGATCTTGGGGCAATCGAGCTTTGATTGAGGAGTCCTCTTGTAATAAAAAAGCATATTTCTCAGCGGGATTTTGAGGGTTCTTTTTAACGCCCCTTAACGAGATGTGCAAATCGGAAATTGTGACGTCGTTTGTGTGTGGGGCGTTGATAGTGACAAAGCCCTCGACATAGTCACCAGGACGATAGATGGGGTGTGAAGCAGTATTGGCCATGATGATTGATAGTGGCTTGGTTAAAGCATTGGCGATACGTGTTTGACTTGAATTTCGAGATCCAATCATGTTAGGGAAATTGTACAAGACAGATCAAAAGCGAACTGAGGTAATTATAGTTATGGGATACTCTGCAAAGACAAACCAAAAGGAAAAAATAAAACAGGTATTTGATAAATTTGATGAAACAAAGAGTTAAAAAGCGAAGATGTAAACAAGAAAAATATTTTGTTAAATAAACAAATTCAAATCTTCAGGAGAACTAAACTCTCTTTTACTCGTAGATTGCTAGGGTTTATTTGGAGTTTTATAATTACCTTTGGATGCTGCAATTGAGGCATATGTGTCCTATAATTAATACGTTCTATTGGAGATACCCCGATTATAGTTTCAGGATTGGCCAGAGATAAAATAGGACCAGCGGCTGTGACATTAACATTCCGGGGGTATAAATTAGCTGACTGCACGCAACATACCCATCGCGGGGTTTATACATTCCGACACTCGCGGCGGAAAAAATCAAAGGCCTTGTGGCAGTGAAGAAAGCCTCGGATCAAGTATAATAAGGCCGTTGGTTAAAATCTACGATGAAGGCGCCTGCTCGTTAAGAGCTCGCTAAGACCAATGATAAAAGCGCCAATTTCACTTTGGACTAATTGAACCACCATATCAGGCAGCCTTTTGCTGGGAGCATCAGATCCCAATATGATTTTGGTAGGGGGGAAATTTCCATGGAAACCGATAATTAGTTGGGCAGCCGCAGTCAAGCCATTGGAAAATCTCTGATGATTTAAGCCTTCTAGAATCTCGAGCATACGTGAGGAAAGGCACTAAGATCACAATAAAAACCCGTGCCGTGCAGGACCCTAGTGCATAAAGGATAAAAAATCTCGAGATACCCAGTTAAGTTAAGGGCACCATATATATACCAATTTTTTCCTTTCTATTTTCTCTATTGGGCAGTAGGAACTATTTAACGACTGGGAACAATCGACGCGCTACAAGAGTATATTGGAATACGAATGAGTTATTTGATGAATCTAGTCCCACATCTGCACTACCCTGCCTCTGCATTTGCGTCGTCTATTCTCCTTGGACCTAAATTATGACGGCATGGCAACTATCCGGAAGG